GAAGGAGAAAATTTCTGATGCTGAATGGCAATGCCTCTTGTTCAATATACAAGCCGAGATAGCTTTTCATAAGCCAATATAATTATGTTGGGTAAGTCCTCCATACAAAATAAGCTAATAGCTTAAATTTCTGGACAAATAAAACACGGCTATTGTTAACCAACAACGAAAATGAGCATTTTAAAGTTATTGACAGAAAACCTTTATGGGGTGTAGTTCCGTTTGCAAGAGCAATTACTCGGTCCAAAACGCACTAAATCGCCAGTCTTCACTTTCAAAACACTAGTAAAATATATTAATTATTTTGCGAAATTGAAAACAAGAATCGGTTTTCTCTGTTCTTTGGTATGTGGCTAATGGTCAGATGCTTCCACGGAGTGTTTGGCGATGTTTAGCCGCAATCCGAACCACAACAGACCAGACACCAAAGACCAATCAAAAAGTGCGCCGAAGAAGGCCGAAGTGGGTCTGTCAGCCAATAAGATCATGACCACAGTTTTTGGGGATGCACACGATGTCATTCAAGTCGATTGGCTTGAAAAGAGAAACACGATTTTGGACAGATTCGATATTGAAAAACGACCATATTTGGCCAAGAAAAAGTGGTGTTCTATCAAGACAATGCACAGTGCAGTCACCATAGAAAAATCCATCAATTGGCTGCGAACACTTACCCCATCCACCATATTCACCATTTTTAGCACCCAGCGACTATTTCCTGTTTTCAAACCTAAAGAAATGGTTGGGCGGTAAGAGATTTGGGTGGGCTGAAGACTCATCACTGAAATAAATGCTTATTTTGAGGACTTTGAAAAAGCTAAAAAGAGACTTTGTTGATAAATAAAATGCTTTTTTGCCGAAAAATATATCGTTTAATTGAAAAGTCACTAACTTTTCAAATTGCCGTCATAGATACATGCATACATATATCTATAGCTATATTCGAATGAAAACTTTCGACTCAAAGACTGAAAATGGTACTGGAGCCGGATAGCATCTGGACGGTAAGATGCTTTAATGCATTGGGTATTTTACGAAAGGTTGCGCAGACATAAAATCAGGATCTGCATTGACAGCCAAACAGCTCTAAAGGCCTTGGAAACCGCTCGCACCTCTTCAAAGATCGTGAGAGCCATCGGTGAGGTTCAATACACCGGCATAATACCGGCAAAACAACCACGAGTTTGCTGTAAATGCCTGACAGGGTTCTATCAAGACTCCTTCTCAGACAAAGAAGGAGAGATCTGTGAGCCTTAATAGACTTATTACGGGGGAACAATCCATGGGGACGACTGTTTACATCTTGTTTGGAGGATGAGGATAGTACAGAACATTTTCTCTGCCGCTATCCGTTCTTTTCCAGACTTAGAGGGTACATTTTTCGGTCTGATGTATTGAGAATGGACGCGCTAAGTGGCCTTTTCCTCAAGTCCGGTAAGTTTGCAGAGGAGTAATTAATTCCCACTTCTCCTATAAATGCTTATCCTCTAAATCTTCGCTCTAGGCCTTTAGTATAATAGGCAATTCTGCCTGAGTGCTTGCAAAAATTGTTTTTGGTTTCTTCTGCCGCCCACAATTCTATTCCATTACATTCCATAGTGAAATGAACGAGCAGTTATTATGTAAAAAAGTGCCGAAGCTTTTATGAATAACAAAAATTGTACTTGGCTGTCGTATATTTGATAAGTTTAGGATTGAGATTGGAAGGGAAAAAAAGATTTGGATGAAATTTGATATCCAAAGGTTCCTCGAGTCGCTGTTACAAAATTGAAAACAGTTTTTAAAAATCCAAAATGGCGTATCCAGTATGGCGGTTGGATTTAAAAAAAAAATCAGATTTTCATGAAATTTGATATCCAAAGGTTATTACAAAACTGAAATCCGTTTTCAAAAATTCAAAATGGCGGTGGAATTTAAAGAAAATTCTAATTTTTAGGAAATTTGATATCCAAAAGTTCTTTGAGTCGGTGATTACAAAACGTAAATCAGTTTACGAAAATTCAAAATGGCGCATACAATACGGCGAAAATTTCAAAATGGCGGTGGGATTTAAAGAAAATTCAGATTTTTAGGAAATTTGATATCTAAAAGTTCTTTAAGTCGGTGATTACAAATATGGCGGTGGGATTTAAAAAAAAAATCGGATTTTCGGGTATTTTGATATCCAAAATTTCTTTCAGTCGCTGATTACAAAACTGAAATCCGTTGTCAAAGATTAAAAATGGCGGATGGGTTTTTTAAAACATTTTCCAATTTTTGTGAAATTTGATATCTAAAAGTTCTTTTGTCGCTGATTACAAAACTGAAATCAGTTTCCAAAGTCCGTGTCGGGCGGCGTTATATGTACGTATGCTTCAGATGTATCTACTTGCTTTTGTAATGTAGTGTAGCTGCGAGGCTTATGTAATGAAAAACTATTTAATTTTTTTATTTAGTTTTATTAGCTGTTTGACCACACGCAGCACATTTATTCGCATACATGCAAGTAAGCTTACTACAATCGGTACTTTTCCACATTTCGTTTAGTTTTGTTATTGCTTTTTTCCTACTAACACTCAAACTAAAAACACATGTTCGCTTTTTCTCCCTTTTTATCCCACTTTTCAAGCAGGCAATTACTTTAGCGAAGACATGCGAGGCCACAACAGAGATGCGTGAGTGCAACTCGCCCAAGGATTGGTCCCTATTGGCGCTACAAAACATACGCACTGGAAAGTCACATTATCTAATCATCTGCAGGTGTCCGGATCATTTCAAAATGGGTAAGTTTCCGGCGGCGTGTAGCACACGAGAAATGGAATGCGCGCTGCGCAATTAATAAGCAATTTTCCAAATAAACAATTAAATGCATAATTCCATAAAATTGATAGATAATAGCTGCATATCATGATACTCATGAGTTAATTAAGCTAATACACTTTTGATTAATTCTTGACACTTTCTTCCTCCTTCTATTTCTCGCTTCTCGCATGCACGCACAGAGGGTCCCATGGCGCATGATCAGCCCAAGTATGCCAGCGTGCCCGGCATACGCGTCTTCGGTATGATGTGCGTGAAGCCCGGTTACTCCGTACGCAAGCCATCGTCACAACCGCCCAAGCGCTATCAACTACAGAAACCATTCTATCGGCCAGGCACGCAAAGCAACAGCGCCTACATCAATGTGCCACAATATGGCGTTAAAGACACCTATGGCCGACCGAGCTCGTCGTCATCGTTGGCGGCAACTAGCAATTATCATGCGGAAAATAGTTTCTCAAACCAACACCAATCAGGCGGCTATCAATATTTGAATCGACCAGACACTAGCAGCAGCAACATTAATCCACATCAATCGCTCAGCGTCGGCAGCTACCGACCGGATACACTCTCCTCGATTAATAATTTCCCATCTGGTATTTATGGGCGCAACAATGAACGCAAAGGTGAAACACCGATTGAGGCGGTCAAAGACGAGGATAAATCGTTGCATACCAGCACACAACAATCTGCTGAAACTGCAGCGGCTGGTGGGGGGGTCGGCAGCGGTGGCATCGACGAGACAACGTCGTCCAGTGCGAACTTAAATGGCGACGATTTGGCTGCTGCTGCATCACAGCAACTGAACGAAGAGGTGGCACAATTGCGTCAGAAGCGGGCGGTGGGCGATGGTGCGACCCACGATTGGGATAATATTACGCCCGAATTCCCGTGGGATCGTGTTATGGAGTTTCAACAGACAATCGTCTGGGATTGAGGTGTAGGCGAATAAAAGAATAGGTGAAAGCGAAGCCGATGGCGGTGGCGGCAGCGGCGGTGGCGTTTAAGTAATTATCTTTTCGTTTACATTTTTTTTTAAGTTTATTATTTAAAAGTGATCGCGGGATCGGTAGATGCAGGAATAAACTAAATAACTGGTAGTAGAGAGTAAAGTAAGAGAACAAAAGTAAACTTAAGAGCAAGAAGTCGCAGGAGGAGTGCAAGTTTTTTGCAACAAAACTTTAAAGTTAAAGAGGCGTCTTTTTAATAGTATAACTTAAAAAACATACTACTGTGACTGAAAGAAAAAATTAAAAATTAATAACAATAATCGATAAAATATAAATCGATTAAAAACATCTCACAGAAGTGCGAAAGAATATGAAGGAATATAGCGTAAATTTTATACGAAATGCATAATAAATAAGAAAAGAGGCATAAGAAAAGCGTGAAAATATTTTTAAACAATTAAAAGCGAAAAACTATCGCATGTATATTTAAAAAAAAAATATTTCGACTAAAAAAAGTAAACATGACTAATTTTGAAACATCGAGTCAATTTCAAGTGAGAGCTTAGCATTTATCTAAACATAGAGGCGAAAGAGTTGT